TAAGGTCGTGTTGTAGTTGTCCTCCTCTTTTCCATAGTAGTATCGATTGGGGCGACAAGAGTAAGGTCCACATCTGAACCGTAATTGTTCTTTCTTGTGTCTTTTACTGGAGACACAGAAAATACATTGCTTAACATCAAAACCCTTAATACTCACGTTATCTTTAGGTTCTATTCTCTCACTACTCTCTTTGGTTTTTCTCTGAGTTTCTTTAGTTAGACGGACTTTTTGTAACATTGGTTGGTTGTTCCAAAGACTTAATAGCCCTAGCGACCAACTATCTACCTGTAACTATGACCTGCAATCTTCGTCACATCAAACATATTAATTATTTCGTATCCATGGATCCAATAACCTATACAAGTCTTTGTCAGGGTACATTGACCTTCAAACTTATTCCGGTAACTTTCGGTGCAATGCTGAGCTCGGCACCACACATTCATTGGAGATAATTTTCTCCGGTGACGGTGATCTCTCACGTGATTTCATTTTCAATGTTGACATCACATTGTCAAGGTTACTACATGTCTCTACAATACTGACTTCGACTGGCTTAAACTCCGTAGAAAGCGATTTCCTATATAACACTAGCGTTAAATGTGTGTTTCGTCATGGCCTCAGCATTAGGTCGCCTCCTCATCCTAAACACATAGATAGCAAATATCTACCGGAGGTGTTAACTAGATGCGAACGAACGCTTGAAGAGGTGTTGCTTTTAAACTAGCAGACATTAAACATTTGAAATTTTACAATATCTGTTCATCTCTGAAAAAAGGATGCCACATACATTTTCGCATTTGGCCTCGATCCCAGTCAGAAATGAGGCTGTGTGTTACCTGTCAGTTCGATATCACTCGGGGATTTCAGATCCATCAGGAAAAAACCAGGGAAACCAAATGAAGGTCATCTTTTGTGCATTTTCCTTTATTTGGAGATAATTTGAGCCACTCGGCCACCTCTGTCTTGCCAATAATGCTTAAAATGATAACCGCCTTAACATGAGCATAGAATATAGATTCAACTTTCGTAGTTGTTCCATCTTTTACCAGACTTTTGAAATACAACATCTTAGGATAATAAAGTCGCCATTGATAGGTTGACTAACAGAAAATCCTTTCCTTGATGGTACGGCAAAGAAATGTCAACTCTTGGGGAAAGATTGCCGAGGGTCTGTTCGTCAAAATCTTCCCACGAGTGTTAGGATGTCTTTGCCAAGACTTAAGACTTAAGATTGGGCATATAATCTGGTGACTTAATGTCGAAAATAATCAGATCACAGAAAGAGGATCCTAAGTTATTAAGGGACACGGATAGCAGAATAAAGACAACTCAACAGAGAAGTAAAATGCTGGAAAGGGAACATACAGGGAAAAAGCTTGTGCGAAGTAGGAGGAATATAAACACGGAAAACTTAACCAGACATCGCCTGTTCGAGACTTGTCCCCATGTTGTTTGAAAGTTGTGAACGCTATAGACATATGATATAAATTTCAAAATATGGCAATTTTGATATCGAGTCCGATATCGGGGTCTCGGCCTTCGGCCCCTCTGGCCGATATCGGGACTCTCGAAACTGATAAGGATACATGTATATAATAAATTATATCAATTTGTCAGAGAAAAACTTCTTTCAATACTAACTGACCAAAAGTATCCCTTACTGTCGAAAACATATCTTTCCTGCCAATTTCCGCCAGCTTAATAACTGTAGACTGACCGTTTGTTACAAACAGCACTCTTATGTCTAGTATCACCGTCACAGTCGGACGAAGCTGCTCCCAGCTGGGACCTTGGACCTAGGGGAGGGGTGAGTCCGGCTGTCAAAACGTACTAAACGATAGATTTCGTGCAAGTTATACTTCTTTTGTGCCTTTTATTTGTCCTATAAAACACAAAACATAAGAAAATTGTCGAACTGTTAAAACTTTAAAGAGGTGACATCACTAATGAGATTTTAATAGGCACCTGTCGACATGATACCATACCCTATATACGGAGTAGGTTGGGTTGGGAACGCTGATCCCACAGAATTTTACCCTGAACAGAACACGCGACTTAACTGTAATCAATCTTTCTCTTGTTTTCATAACCTTGTGTAAAATTGATACATATAGTCAGTAATGCTGTAACTATATATCAGAAAACCGTGATATTGCAATACACAGCATATTGTACTGTATCGCAATGCACAGGCATATTGTATCGTATCGCAATACAGAAATGGAATATCGATGTATCGGATTTTTTTCCAAAAACCTATTTGTATGTCTCTGCTTAGTGTTTAAGATTTGTATATTCCTCCATTTTCTAACAGATAACCATAAACAGACTATTACCAGTGGTAAAAATTAGTTGAAATTTTATATTCAACGATTGATTTAACCAAAATCTTAAATTTTGTTAATCCATATATGATAGATGAAATATTCTTTTTAAACTGGGTACTTTTTTCCTGTGACAATTTATCGGGATACGTATCGCAATACACTCATTCTCATGATACACTCTAATCGTAATGTGCCCTGGACACCCCTAATAGCCAGGGACCTAAACAGAATATGATTAGCGACGCCGAAAGACAAAGACTGCTGTAAAAGTGTCAATCTAACAAGGAATTCTGACATCACGTACAATTACTAGTCATATGATTTCCTGAATCCAGTATTTCCTTCTGATGAGAAAACTGTGATCTCATAGGTTTGTATCGGGGTGTTATATTAACCTCGTCCCCGACAACACCGTGGTGTTTCCTCAAAAGAAGGCAATAATGAGTAAGTATATAAACTGATAAATGTTATCGGTCCAACAACACAAGAAATCATTCTGGCTACAAGACAGAAAAAATGGATCAACGGTAGTCTTTTTTAAGTCTTGCGTTTCAAAACGTCCTTAAATGACCTTAGCTATTTAAACTAAACTGGCGTTTCAAAGAGGGAAGAAAATACAAGTCAATATGGGGGGGATTTGGGGAAATGGTAATTTTTTTTATAGAAAATAGACAAACTACTTACTCTAAGTATTGTACTAATATGATAACTTCAGATGACAAATAGTTATTTGTATTTGTATATTTTATATATATGTTGTTGTGATATGCTACCGCATCGGAACCTGTTAATGTAGTGTAACGTGATAAAAGGGAGGCAATCCAAACGGATGATATGGAATACGTACTGCAGCAACCAGGGCCGTTTTCGTTTAAATGGTTGAACCGGTCGGACCACAGTTGATCGTTTATTAAATAAGGTCGGACCTAGTAATCTGATGCGGCTTTCAGACAAGCCTTATCAAAGTCTTGTAACGTGTCCATACACATTTTCAGGTTCGCCAGGATTTATACCCGAATTTGTTACATTTACAAACGGACAAACCGGTTGTTCCGCATAAACGAACAGACCCCTGGAACTGTCTACATGGAAACTAATAGTAGGATGCTGTTTAAATCATTTACTTAAAAAACCGCAAACAAACTGAACTTATCCAATTAAACAGTGCTGATCTCCTACATTAGTATGTGCTAATGATCTAATTGAAATAATCTGTTTTAATTTATGATACCCTCTGTATGTGCTAATCTATAAACAGTATGTGATAATCCATAAACAGTATGTGCTAATCCATAAACATTATGTGCTAATCCATAAACAGTATGTGCTAATCCATAAACAGTATGTGCTAATCCATAATCAGTATGTGCTAATCCAGTTGAACATCAGCACCTATAACTAACATATTGAGGATGTGTAAACACGTATTACGTGGCTTCATGTTGAGCTGATACACCTTATCTATAAGAATACTGACGTACTAACACACTGACGTATTAACACGTTTACTAACTGACATATACTAACAAACTATCAAATTAAACAACGAACCTTCTACTTTTATTTAAAGCTAGCTAAGCTATTGATACGATCGTATCAAGGATACAGTATCAAACAAAAATGCCGCTCATTTTATTTTTATTATCATTATTTATTAATTCAAAATAAATAAATAATTCTGAAATTAAAAATGCTGCATCAGTTGTCAATAAATCAAGAAAAAAATATCGACATAAATCTTATTTAATGTCATAAAAACATAATAATATGCCAAAAAGCATGATACCCTGTACTCTCGTTTCAAATACATACAATATTAACACCAACACCGGCTGATTAATTATTGAGATCAACACCGCCTGATTAATATTAAAATCAACACCGCCTGATTGATATTGAGACAAGTACATTAACAATGCTTTAGATTAGCAATGACACGACTGATTGAAACTGACACACTGACGAGGCTGATTAGCACTGACACGGCTGATTGACATTGAAACGGCTGATTGACACTGTCACGGCTGATAAGCACTGACACGGCTGATTGACACTGACATGGCTAATTGACACTGTCACGGCTGATTAGCATTGACACGGCTAATTAGCACTAACAAGGCGGATTGACATTGACGCGGCGGATTGACACTAACACGGCTGATTAACACTGACACGGCTGATTGACACTGTCACGGCTGATTGACACTGACACGGCTGATTAACACTAACACGGCTGATTGACACTGGCACGGCTTATTTACACTGTCACGGCTGATTTACACTGACACGGCTGATTGACACTGACACGCCTGATGGACACTCTCACGGCTTATTTACACTGACACGGCTGATTGACATTGACACGGCTGATTGACATTGACACGGCTGATTGTCACTGACACGGCTGATAAGCACTGACACGGCTGATTGACACTGACACGACTGATTTACACTGACACGGTTGATTGACACTGACACGACTGATTGACATTGACACGGCTGGTCGACACTGTCACGGTTGATTGATACTGACACGACTGACTGACATTGACACGGCTGATTGACAATGACACGGATGAATAACACTGACACGGCTGTTTGACACTGAAGCGGCTGACTGATATTCTAATTGGTTTTATGGTTTTTTTTTAAATTAATGGTACCTTGTGTATGTTCTAATCCATATACAGTATGAGTTTATCCATAAAAAGTACGTGCTCATCCATTAACATTACGTGCCCATCCATAAACAGTATGTGCTAACCCATACACAGTATGTGCTAATCCATAAACAGTATGTGTTAATCTATAAACAGTGTGTGCTAATCCATAAACAGTATGTGCTTATCCATAAACAGTATGTGCTAATCCATTAACAGTATATGCTGATCCATTAACATTATGTCCTCATCCATAAAAAGTATGTGCTAATCCATAAACAGTATGTGTTAATTCATAAACAGTATATGCTTACCCATAAACAGTATGTGCTTATCCATAAACAGTATGTGCTTAACCATAAACGATATGTGTTAATCCATAAAAAGTATGTGCTAATCCATAAACAGTATGTGCTTATTCATAAACAGTATGTGCTAATCCATAAACAGTATGTGCTAATCCATTACTAATCCATTAACAGTATATGCTCTTCCATTAACAGTATGTGATAAGCCATAAAATGTATGTGCTAATCCATAAACAGTAGTTGCTAACCCATAAAAAGTATGTGCTAATCTATAAAAAGTATGTGCTAATCCATTACTAATCCATTAACAGTATATGCTCATCCATTAACATTATGTGCTAATTCATAAACAGTATGTGCTAATCCATAAACAGTATGTGCTAATCCATTACTAATCCATTAACAGTATATGCTCATCCATTAACAGTATGTGATAAGCCATAAAATGTATGTGCTAATCCATAAACAGTAGTTGCTAACCCATAAAAAGTATGTGCTAATCCATAAAAAGTATGTGTTAATCCATAAACAGAATGTGTTAATCCATATACAGTATGTGCTAATCCATTAACAGTATATGCTCATCCATTAACATTATGTGCTAATTCATAAACAGTATATGCTGATCCATTAACAGTATATGCTCATCCATTAACATTATGTGCTCATCCATAAACAGTATGTGCTTACCCATAAAAAGTATGTGCTAATCCATAAAAAGTATGTGTTAATCCATAAACAGAATGTGTTAATCGATATACAGTATGTGCTAATCCATTAACAGTATATGCTCATCCATTAACATTATGTGTTAATTCATAAACAGTATATGCTGATCCATTAACAGTATATGCTCATCCATTAACAGTATGTGCTTACCCATAAACAGTATGTGCTAATCCATAAAAAGTATGTGCTGATCCATAAACAGTGTGTGTTAATCCATAAACAGTATATGCCCATCCATTAACAGTATGTGCTAATCCATAAACAGTATATGCTCATCCATTAACATTATGTGCTAATCCATAAACAGTATGTGTTAATCCATAAACAGTATATGCTCATCCATTAACATTATGTGCTCATCCATAAATAGTATGTGCTTACCCATAAACAGTATGTGTTAATCCATAAACAGTAAGTGCTTATCCATAAACAGTATGTGTTAATCCATTAACAGTAAGTGCTAATCCATAAACAGTATGTGCTTATTCATTAACAGTGTATGCTGATCAATTAACATTATGTGCTCATCCATTAACATTATGTGCTAATTCATAAGCAGTGTGTGACACGGATGATGAACACTGACACGGCTGATTAACACTAACAGGCTGACTGACACACTGACACTGACACACTGACACGTGTGTTAATGAACGTTAAAATAATGATAACTAAAATGTCCAAAGGCATGCGAATACATCTATAACATATCAATATCTGTACTGACTTTAATTTAAATCGTACCCTGTTTCACAGATATTAACACACTACACTCTGTCACGCTAATAATGAAGTCATTTATACATTTTTATATGTTATAGAGTTAGCTATATAGTTACATTCCTACGAGCGTTTTCAAATTAAAAAACAAAAAACAAAAGTACCGGACACTCAGCAGCTGTTCTATATTCGTAACAGCTTTTAAACTTAGAATGACCTTGATTAGAACTTGTTATGCTATAGTTTTTATATCTGCTCGAACACGGGTCCCTGAGTGAATCAACCAAACGGAAGTATGCTTATTTCCGCTACTTCGAGATGTTTCTATGTAGGTTAAATCACCACATAGCCATGACGCTTTCATAATTCTTGCTACAGATGATGGCAACAAAAGTACATGATTAAAGTAAATGTCAATGTTTTATGGGGAGAAAAAAAATCGTTAAAATCGTTGTAAGAATTAATACTCTACATGTCACGTGCAGGAACAGTCACAGCCAACATACTGCAGTTTGGACTTTTGACACTCAAGAGACAGATTATTACATTTTATGAAATTAGATTCTCCATGGCGATAACGTCACTCTATATACCACTTGCCTTCCGGAAAACAATTGAACGGGAAATGTTTAATATATATATATACAAGTACATGTTTATTACGTAGTTGTAAATGGCACAATATTATACCAATCGATGACGTCATAAAAAAGCATTACTACCTGTGGAAGTATTGGAGATTGCACTACACAATGTTATCGTATGATCGCTAACCACTGATTATAAAGATTATGTTGTTTGAATAAAACATACGAAAATATACCGAAATGAAAACAAAATCGTAATTTAAACTCAGAATTCATGATGGCAAAATATGAACAAGGAAAGATTTACACTGAGACATTTGAAACACTACAAGGGAATAAGACCACGTGTTTCGGAAGAGTAAGCGTCTTTTAGATTATCGAAGACACCCGCCGTGTAAAATTTGATCAAATCCAAGAAACACATTGTCCTCAGTGAGAACCGAGGTAATGACAACGAAATAGTAAATCACGCTTATGAGCATTGTCTAAAAGTGACACTCATATCACAGAAGGCAACAGAATATACCAAACTCCGGTGTTGTAGCAGCCAAGCGAGGAGGGGGGGGGGGGATACTGCCTTACTGGCAAGCTAGCTTTTTGGTTAGTATACGGTATAATCCTGGAACTCGCTCAACATCGAGCGTGGTCAGTGGTTAGATGTGAGCCTGGTTACAGTGTCTGTACCGGCTGTCCACGCCGCGGTCTGTCCTCCAATCTTATACTGTACTCACGACTCACGTGTCTGTACTCCGATCTTACTGTACTCAGAACCACGTGTCTGTACTCCGATCGTAAACTGTACTCCCGAATCACGTGTCTGTACTCCGATCGTATACTGTACTCACGACTCACGTGTCTGTACTCCGATCGTATACTGTACTCACGACTCACGTGTCTGTACTCCGATCTTATACTGTACTTACGAATCACGAGTCTGTACTCCGATCTTATACTGTACTCACGACTCTGTACTCCAATCGTACTGTACTCACGACGCACGTTTGCACGTATCTGTATCCCGCAAGAACTCTCCGTTCCTCATAAAACTGTTTTAATCTGACCATCACATTGTTCATACTTCCGTAACAATCTCTATTTTACTGTTCCACTTTAGCCGGAAGTAGATATCCTTGGTGAGCATATGGTAAATACACGGAGCCGACTTGGCCCCGTGCCATTCAGGTTTGCTTGGGATGTTGGCCTCCAGATACACACCCATTGCATTGTTGACTTCCGTCAACACCTGCAGAAGGTCTGTCCGGAAGTCGAACCTGTGGAGCATGCTCACCACGTTATACATACAATAAGGCAGCCATCCCCCAATATGGTCATCGCACCAAGCTAGTCGCTCTGTGGAAATAACAATTCTTATGGAAATAATGCACAATCTTAAGCAGAAAAAGCGTATTTGCATAATGTTAAATAGACGAAATAGAACAACTGCCCACACAGCTTGTTGTGAAATGTAGACATATAGACATCACGTAACGAATGTTTGCACGCGCTAAAGAACAGTCTTATTTCAATAATTAGAGGCGTATTGACACTGAGGTAGACGCGAAAAAGATTTTAATTACATTTTACCAGATGAAATAGATTAATATCATTATATGTTTGTATATTGTGCTGGCAAATATAACTCGGGATTAGAAATGTTGGAAAAAGTTGAATAATCAACTCGGGCGGTAAGCGGACTTTGTAATGATATTTTCCAACATTTCTCACCCATGCTTCAGCTCCAATATAAAACGGGTATATGGCAGAAGAGAAGTAACTCGGCTAAGTAACTCGTATTTAGCCCACCCTCTATGTTACCCGGTTACAGATACAACCACTATATTAGGCATAAAGTTTTCTTAAGGTAAAAGGGTGTACCACTTCATTAGGTATAATATCGTAGCAGTGTTCCTCTCAGAGTTAATTTATCCTTAAAATATCCCCACCCCCACCCCCCACCTTTTTATGGAATATGAAGCAACCAAAACTTGTTGGTACCCTGTACGTTATTTTTTATAACCTACACAGTATGATCATCCAACTTCCCTTAGGAGTTGAATGAAACTCATAAATTCGTATGACTATCAATAAAGTCTTAAGATCTCCAATCAAATTCTAAATTCGAAACTTTCATTAACATTATTTGCATTTGAAAGAAAAAGAAATTCGGTTTTGTTTTAATTAATACAGTGTATAAAACAGTGATGATTTCGTAACAAACAGACGACAATATCAACAAGGATGTGGCGTCCCCAAAAAGACGGCCTCCTCGACACTCAAGGGGCTACGCTCACTTACGCTCTCTGAAAGTGATCGTAACCCCTGGATTATCGATGATGAAAAGAAGATGTCATTTGATTCCAATAGATTGATGATATCATTTTTATGTATCAATAATAAGATGACCCAAGATTCGATACTTGATGAACTCCCGCCCTAGAGAAGAAGTCGAGTTATTGATGAATATGTGTTGTAATAATATTTCCCCAGAGATTCCGTTTTAAATTCACTCATGCAATGTTACTGACTGGAAGTCAGAGAGATTCGTCTTCCTCGTTTAATGATAGGTTGTTACTTACCTGGGGCCGACGAGAACATCACGAGACAGTGTTTGTAGCACGGAATGGTACAGTAGTCGGCGTCCTCAATATGCCGCTTCTGTTGAAGTGCCAAGTATCTGTCCCTCCTTTTCTGTTCCTGTTCTTGCTGAAGTTTCTCCCGGTACCGCCACCATGCCTCTCGAATTTTTCTTTGTTCCTCCTCATTTGCGTGGTCATGTTCCTCTTCGTCGTCGGCAAAATGCATATCCTCTATTCCACGGATCCCGGCCGGGTTGTCATCGACTCTACCTTTGGCGTCGGCCTTCGTGGTGTTTTTGAAATTGATTCCTCCCAGCACTTCGTTTTCCCCTCCCGTAATTTGAATGCGGTCTACTCTCATTTCAAGGGTCTCCTGTGTTTCTACCGACTTAGGTGTGGACTCTGTGTCGAAAGACTTATGGCCGGGTACGCTTGCGCAGTCGTTCGTGTCGCTCCCGCCCTGATGCTGGGACGTATGACGTCTCTCCTCCCCCGTTCCTATACCGGACGGTTGGATGAAGTCCGTGGTGATATCTATATCGACTCCTAGATCTACCATTTCTGTTTCAGCAACATCGAACCGTGCTCGACACGACTGAAATGTATATAAAAAAAATCTTATTACCCTCGACAACTATATAACATACACAATAACATCGTCACACCTCCAACAACCCCTCCCCACTCCCGAAACAATCTAAAATTATAGTATACACAATTTACATCATTCTACCCCGATTTACATAACTCCCCTCCCGACAAACATATATCATACAAAAGCCGTTCAAATACATATGTAGCACAACATGACACGTCTACAACATATAAAATACATAATGTACATTCATTACCCTGTGGTATTGAAACACGAGTGTTTGTTTCTCCGAGATTAATCAAGTTTCATAAAGGCGAAGCCAGAGATAAATGAGAAATAAAAGAATCGGGTTTCCCTTTCACAAGGTTAATATATACATCTTAATATGCCGAAATAAAAAAAAAATCCAATAAAAAGATTGTCAGATTGACACGCCATTGTTGTCTTCTGGCCTCAGACCACCACAGATAAACCCTCCGGTTGGCTGTACACGAATGGAGTGCATTTATTTCTCAATTTTAACGTGGCTGATTAAATTATGTGAAAGAGCTATGGCGGAAAACTGACCATATTTCCCTAAGGCGGCATTCATGAAAACGGGAAAAAATATTAAGGAGTAAATAAGTTCTAGTAGCGAAAATGAATGGAATAGATATAAAACCAATTGAATATGAAATTTTGAACTGCTGAGATGTTAGGTATAGTTAATATAATACTGCAAATATAGCCATATTCACTATTTCTATGAAAGTGTTTGGGTTTCCCAGATTTAAAAAAAAAGGGATTTTTGAATAAACTTTTTGATTCCGTGATGTAATATTCAAAAACAAATCACATGACGGAAAAGTGGTCCTCCTTTGGAAAAGTGCTCAAAATAATGAAAAACTAGAATTATGTCAGTGTGACATTAAAGCCGCTCACCACTTTAAATTTAATTGCTTCAGTAACACGTTGAGCATCAATATCTACCATAATACCTCAGACATGTGTCCTGTATTCTGCTTATTGAAAATCAGGTCATGTGATGATGTTGCCTTTGGAATTTCCAAAATCTATCACCTCTTAAATGATGCCTTAAAAACATTCTCCCTCTCCTCTTTTTTCACCCTCTTTAAGTGTGACGCATTGTTGTAATTTTCATTAATTAGCATCCTCCGATGATGTGACATGAGCATTTACGTGCATAATGGCAATCGGTGAATGGATAATAAAGAATAGGTGCATTTTGTGCTTGTGAAATGAAGGATAATTAACAGCAGTGGGAAAACATGCATGGAGAAAAGAGACATCGTACTCCTTTTATTTTTATTTATTTTTTATTCATATTAATAATATTTATTAATATATGTAGTGACTTTATTAGATTTTTAGTTTAAACATATTTTATTGCCAAAATAGTGACAACAGGATTGGGCACAAGTTATTACAACATTATTTACGCCCTTTCCTCAAATATATACATCAGATTTACAAACATGGCACAACTGGGTATCAAATAATATGTATAATAGTAGCATTACAACAACAGAAACAAAAAGAGAAAGAAAAAGAAAAAGAGAAAGAACAACATTGAACAGTCCCACAAATTGAGTATAGAAATATAAAATGCCTTATGAATTAAAACCTACCGCTGGTCTTTATGAATTTTTGCACGTTACGAAAAATATCATTATTTTGTTGAGAAGACCGATCCGGAATACCAGATAACAATATATCTAAGGAGATTTCATTAACAAAATTTAGATTTTGAAACAATTCAAACCTCTGGTGTGTATAAACTGGACATTCAAAAAAGAAATGATAGGCGTTTTCACATGGAGATCCACAGACACAGGCGGGACTATCTAACATGTTGACTCTAAATAAATCTTAATTTAGGGAACTGCAGTTGTACCTTAACTTAGTGTGAATGATATTTAGTTTTCGTTCACCATAACCAAAATAACTGGGCGACTTGGTGTCCAATTCTCGAGAGATGGCTTTTTTGAATCTTCCTAAAGTGACCGATGATCTTTTAGCAGTATCTAAATTGTTCCAAGAGCGAAGCGTAGAAGGTAAGAAGGATGAATTTGTACTAGAAAGTCTGAAATTTGGTATTACAAAGTCATTACTGTTTCTTAAAGGATATCTGACATTTTGGTTTACTGTATTGGGTAGAATTTTGTTTAAGAATGCAGGGGTGATACCATTTTTCATTTTGTACAATAACTGCAGTTTCCTTCTTTTTCTCCTGTCTGAGAGTCTTTCTAACCCCGATTCAAAATAGAGAGCATAATTATTAGCATAGGAAGGAAGACCAGTAATGATACGTGCGGCTTCACGTTAACATTTTTCTAACCTCTCACTTTCATTAATTGTACATCCGTCCCATAATTCACAACAGTAATCAAAAATTGGCAAAATAAAAGAGTTATATATTTTCAACAAGTTTCTTTTTTAAGAATATGTTTCAGACTTCTAAGAACATTTATTGTCTTCATAACGGAGGTATAAATAGCTAAAATATCATCCCCCCAATTACCTGCAGAATTGAAGACTTCACCCAAATGCCTGTGTTGATCACTAAAATTCAATAATTGGTCGTTAAAACGTAATTCTAAATCTCCATTTAGTTCTATCGCATTAAAGATAAATAAAACATTGGTCTTGCTAGCATTGAAATCTACTAACCATTTTTTGGCCCATTTACTTAAAGAATCAATGTCTAGGTTAAGGACAGTCTCTATTTCTTGACAGGAAGAAGATATGTGTAAGAGAGAAGTATCGTCTGCGAAAAGTCTAGTCATTAATATATACTAAGAATAATAATGGGCCTAAAATAGAACCTTGATGAACTCCTGCTTTTATGAAACCAGCACGAGAAAGAGAATTCGATATAAAAACGTGTTGTTGCCTATTAGAAAGATAGTTGTTGATCCAATTCAATAGCTCGCCAGTTATCCCATAAGACTTTAATTTAATAATGAGCCCTTTATGCCATACACGATCAAAGGCCTTAGAGATGTCGCAGAAAACTAAACAGGCATGGTTTTTTTCTTCTAAAGCTAGACAGATATTGTGATAGATTTCAATGAGTTGATATAAGGTCGAATGATTCGGCATAAAACCGGACTGGTGTTGATAAAAGAAGGAGTTTTCCAAAAAGTAGTTATGGATATGTTTAAAAACAACCATTTCAAAAACTTTCCCAACAGAAGATAACAAAGATATAGGTCGATAATTTGAAGGAAGATGTCTGTTCCCCTTCTTGAACAAAGGCATTACTTTCGCAAGTTTCCAGGCTTGTGGATATAAACCACGAGAAAGAGACATGTTAAAGATAATCATTAACGGATAACATACAGTACTGACAGTTGCTTTTAACATATGATTACTAATACAATCGACACCAGAGGCTTTACCTAGTTTCAAAACTTGAAGAATGTCATATATTTCTTCAGAATTCGTACGTATAGAGATTAAAATTTTGTCAGTCCTGTTCTGAACTATAAGAATATCTGCTGATGAATCATCAAGACTAGTAATGGAACAAAAATAATCATTTAACATATTTGCTTTCTCCTCGTCATTTGTAAAAAAAATCATTTGATACAGGATCTTGAAGGGTTGGAACAGACTGGGATGAGCTTGAACACTTCATAAGTCTTTTAATAAGTCTCCAGTAAGATTTTGGATCTGAAGCTGAAAATTGGTCGATGAGACAATGGTCATTTTCATAGAAAATTAGACGAGCATGCTTCTTCATGTTATTAACTTTATTGCGCTGAGACTTAAATTTGTTAATATCAGAAGGGTTTCCACGGGATCTATATAATTTGTGCAATCTATCCCGAATCCTTATCTGTTTTCTAAGTTCAAATGACATCCAGGGTTTGTCGTTTGGCCTAACTGTCACTTCTTTGGAAGGTATAAATTCTGCGGCAAATTCTAATAATTTCAATGTAAAAAGGTCACAGGCTTCGTCGACAGTATCACAGTTTGCAAAATTATTTTCTCAATCGAAGTCTAAAATCTTATTATTAAAGTTGCCAAAGTCGGCAGATTTATAAAGCCAGACTTTTCTCTTATACATTGTTTTAATAGCAAAAGATATTTTGATTTAAGCAATACATGCATCATGATCACCGATCGAATCATCTACTGTAATAACATTACTTTCAACACATGTCAAAGTTTCAGATATGAAGATGGGGTCCGGGAGACTAGATTTCGTAGGACAGATACGAGTAGGTTCATTAATTAAACTTATCAGTCCGTATGTATTAATTAGATCAGACAACACATGCCTAGATGAAATAGTTAACAAATCCACGTTAAGATCACCCGTGACTATCAAGTTGGGAGAAATAACTAGAGCTCTGTCTATAGATTCACGTAAATTGTTCCAAAAGGGCTGGACAGAATTTACATGGTAAATGGTACATAGAATTAAACATTGCCCTGAACTCAAGTTCTATCTAAGCGAAATGGTTCGTGGTAACCGTCAATACGTAAAAATTCAGAAGCAACATGCTCGTCTAGATGTGTCTCGGTGAGACAAATAATGTCATACTCGCCTGCTATGTCTTCAATGGCCTCAATTTTATTCCTAACATTTCTAACATTCAGATGGAAAAGAGATAATTCATGTGGGCCTGGGTTTGATTCAAATTTGAATTAAAATAATAATAAATTCAATGTTGAGAAAACTAGAGTTCAGAAACCGGACTACAACTAAAACTTTATTAGAAATTATGTTCCCTGAATACAGTAATTGACTAAAAATGTGACCTAAATGAACACTAAACAAGATAAATTCTGACTTCATCCAACATCTGCCATATACTCTAGTGTAGAAGCCTCCGATGGCCACTCTATACGACATTATATCATTACCCATTATCTATGGGAAAATTCTTATATAATCGAATCGGCAAACCGAAGACTTCCACACTAACAAAAAGTAAAGACCAGCTATAGTGAGAACTTGTTTGACTAAAACACGAAGAAAGAACATTGAAAGAAGAGACTAGAAAGAACATAAAAATCAGAACAGACAATAACTTGAGAACAAATGTTGCTCTCAGAACGATCATAAATATCGCAGTAATAGCGTTTGTTTGATCGACTGACGGATTTAAGTATTATTCTTACAGTAAAGTAAATGGGTGAAAACAGAGATCTATGTCAAACGTAACAACCATTTGGATAAAAATCATCGCATGGCCACTTGCAACTCAAACTCAGAGTACTCAATTACACACAAGAAAATACAAAAATACATATCTAATCCACATCACAAAAAACAAAACAAAAACAAAAAAACAACAACAAAACCCAACAGAGTAGTGAATATCAATTTAACAATTTAAACATATACATAGTCTTACAAATACCACGGACTATTTAGAAAAGACGTGTAACGTGCCGACCACGGAGTGAGGTAAAGTAAAACAGCTCACATTAACATCGCGCGTTTGATACATGTTAGTGAAACATAACCGCATGATTGTGATGAAATTGTTTTCGTGGAGTATTTACTGATGGGTAAAATATATATATATGTATATTCACAGCTATAACGATGCATTAAGGTCTACGAACAACTAGCACGTGTGTGTCAGAAAGCAGGTTCGCGTCAGGGGTCAAATCACACTCGGGTTAAAACTTGACAGCATTACGTGTGTAATGAACCACGTGTTCCATGTTAACAAGCACAACACCGAGTTTGAAGGCGGAGACCGTGACTGTAAACAGCTCACAATAACATCACGCATTCGATACTGTATGTAATACGTAACCGCATGAGTGAGATAAAATTGTTTTATGTAGTATTTACTGGTATTTAGATATATGTGCGATGCATAAAGGTCAACGAACAACTAGCACGTGTGGGTTAACCCATGTGTGGAAAGAGGTTCACAGCAGGGGTCAAATCACACCAAGTATATGTGAAAGCAGTACCATGCTCCGTATGAATAAACGTAAGAGATCGAGTATGAAAACGAAGATATTTCTCATTTACAATGTAACACTATACATGTGTAATAAATAAAGGGAATTGGAGAAAAAAAATTAAAAAAATTGGGATTTCAACTATTATGTAGATGACATTGTCGACGACGCGGAATCGCGCACTGGCAGGTGAGAATCATTTCAACCAATGGATGGAAAGCAAGGTCACATGTCGGGTCAAATAATGTATTATCACGTGCTCGTGCATACTCAAGTACGAGTGTGAAGATATTTTTCATACGCCACTAATTTCTACATTTTTGATAACATGAATAGAAACAAAAATCAAAATAAACTACAGAATAGATCGCGATTTATTTAATGTCATTGAATATACATATTTGAATTATATTTCTCAATGCGACTTTACCAACGTAAGAGTTATTTCCCTTACACCGGATTGGATAATATTTTGACACGGCGCGAATTCTTGTCAAACAGCAGCGGCAGTTGTGTCATGTTCTTAAATTGTTACATTTTCATAAATAAATACACCAGAAAAAGCATGCTGTGTTACAGAAATGTTTGATAAGCATACACGGTTCACATATTGTCTCATCTCGGAGCCATTACCGTTATCAACCTAAGCACGATATGTCATATTACGTTCCCGTTTGAAACATCAAAATAAAGGTTATACTTCATCACTCATACGGTTTGTAAGTATATATATTTACTTCTTCCTTCTACAGACAGCGGCAGTGCAGCTGCTTGACAGTCTTCACATGTGCTTTCTCGAACCATATGTGTTTAATACGCGCAAACCTCCTCAGACCTCAATCCGAGTTGCTAAAACGCTCAAACCCAGTGCACGAATTTCACCACCACAACACTCGTAGAATGCACTGGAGATAAACATTTTGTTTTCAGCAATTATTTAAAGTATGGATTGTTTTTTGGAGAAGAGTATCAGAAGACTTTATGTATGTAACCCACAGGTGAGTGTCAGAGATTCTATTTTCTATTTACGATAACGAAACTATATAGCGGAAGCATGCAAGACTGAATTATGCGCACGCACCCCGAACGGAAGTGGGTCCGTCATTTTGTTCTCTGGTCAGAATTAATAAGCCGCTCGGCTCTCGCCAAGAGCGGCTTAAAATCAGGGTTGATAAAGTTTCTGAAAGCTGCGACAGGTGTTTCTTGGGTTAAAACATTTTGTATTTCCATATTCGTCTATGTCCGATGTAGCCGAATGTGTAACGCAATTAACTTGTGAACAGAAGAAGGAACGGTGCAAGTTCGAATACACGTTCAGATTCACCTTTTTTAATATTTATGCATATGATCTTTTTACTAAATTAAATTTGAAAATATTTGTTCACATCAATGGAACATTTCATTATATTTCAATAACATTCCTATTGATTTATCTTCTATGGAATCATGTCAACAACTCCCTGTACACGTGTACAGTACAGCTAAGCTTTTGAATTATGTTGCCTCCCAATTGGCACTAGTAATCTCATTTATTAGTTGAACACAAACATACAAAATATGTGAGATTATTACGTCAGTATAAGAAAAAGGCCAAGCAAAAACATGAATTGTTGTTATCGCAAATACATTACCGAAAATGCGGGGGAAATTTCATCGTCGAGGACAGTCTCATCTGATTGAAATGCAAAAAGACTGCAGGACAAAGTAAGGAGCGCAATACAAGTGTAGGACATGCTTTTCGAAAATTGTATGTTATTTTGTCATTCAAAGGCGCAGGAAGAACAAAATCATTTTGTAAGAAAACAGGTAACGTCATGACGCAGGCTGTAGTAATGAAAAAAAATCCTTTCAAAACTTGTTGGTAATGATTGCACGATCTTGTGTTTCATACTAAAAGCATATGATTTGTTTAAAAATAATATAAATAACGCGAAATAAGCGTTTTGTTGAGTCTTTATCGTGAAACGCGTGTATCAATATCCACGGCCTTAAATTCGTCTGTTTACAGAATCTATTCTAAGACACAAGATTCCGATAGAGTTACATGTATAAAAATACCTGAGGACGCGTCATGACAGTCCACGGTGGCACGCGCGAACTAGCGGATCACATCTTTTTGGATATAGACATAGTAACCCGTCATAGCTCTTTATTTTTGCGGAAGGATATGATATGTTGTTGGGTCCCTGAGCATGAATTTCAGGGTCATACCATAATGCAACGGGGCTATATTGACACAATAAAAAGATTTTTAATAAATGCCGGTCATGAACTCTTTTCCAGCTCACCACAAATGTTTCTTGTATAGCTGAACAAAACCTATGATGAGCACGTCTCGAGCAAAATTATATAATACTGTTTAAAGGCGTTTTCTTTGGCAAGAACATATAGGGAAATTAATTGTAGTCTGAGGCCTGCATTCTGCTTCAGTTATATAATTTTTTCTAGAGATGCTCCGAATATGATCGGGTTACTTGAGCGCGTGAGGTCGACATGATGTTTTATCAACCTGTTATATGATTAATATCACATTGTTAATAAAGATGAAGTATAACTATTTATATAGTACCACCCCTAAAATGTGTTCTGTTGGTGTTTCTGTATAAGTAGGAGTTGATATTGAGGGAGGATATCTATTTACCTGTATAAAGAAAAGTTTCGGCTTTCCTCTCATTGCTGCACAATTGCTGTCGTTGAATGTCTTAATGATGTCGTCAGTCACTATCGCGCCATCGTGGGTATGAAGCATATGCTGTCGGAGATTGTCGTGTTCCGGAACTGGGACCTCCGCGCCATGAGTACTGATCAGACAAGCGAAACAGTCACTATCCTTCTCCAGCTTTGACCGGATATCTGTAAAGTATCACAACGTGTTACTGGAAGCGATACCGAACGTTTTAAAGTTTTTGTAGCAGAAGTTACTTTTATCTGATTAGATTACTATGTTATTAAATGTAAGTGCTAGATATACATTTATTCCTACATTCATAAGATCTGGATAATGCTACTCCAACACTTGTTAGATCTGGAGAATACTCTGCCGACAATTGTCAGATCTGGATAAAACAAATCCGACAATAATCCGATTTGGATACCACTCCGACACTTGTCAGATCTGATTAAAACAACTCCAACACGTGTTAGATCTGAATAATAATACTCTAACAATCACACATTTACATTTAGGTCGACTGAATAACTACATGTATCATTGTTTATACTGACCTTTCAGTGAGTCCATCAGATGTTTTGTTGTTTTGTTTTTCAGTGTTTTGACTTCAAATCCAAGAACTTGAAATAATGCAGTCAGATTTTGTATGTCATATTCGGCGGCAGGACGGTTATCTTTCACATTGGAGAACTCCGTATTTACAATGAGCACTGCAACACCACGCCGGAAGTGGTTAAAATCGTAAGTATCTTCGAGCATGCTCTCTGGACCTCTCCATTCCCAGACATCCGGTAAATCAGAGTAAGCAATGTTCGTTTGTGTGTCAATACCATCGTTGTCACTTCCGGTACTACTATTTTCATAGTACGACCTCGCCCGGTCATCGTCATCCTTCGTGCATTCCTCTACAATTTTAACTTCCGGTTTTTCCTTTTGTTTCTTTTTACGTCCATGTTTTACTCTATAAAATGAATATTTCGTTCGTTTGTACATTGTATTGTCACTCTCAGTTTATATCAATGAAGATGATGGTAGTTGGTTCTTGCTATAGAAATTAATATAAGTGTTTTATGTCAAGATAAATGTTATTCGTTCATGTTTTAATGATGAACCCTTAAATCAGAAACATTTCCACAACTCATAAAACAAACAAGTAGGCCTATTGGTTGAAGTTGTGAGCGTACTTGTTTGTAACAAATATAAATGAATCATGTAACTATAATAGAGATTTTTAAGTAGTCCATGGTACACAAATGGGTAATTGATAAAAAAAAAGATGTTTTGACAAGGCTTCATTACTAACGGTAAAATGACATTTTCTGTATAGTTGACACAATTGAATCACACGGTGACTTACCGATTTACTAATTTCTTTACTTGTTTCTCGAACTTTTCTCTAAAAGCGTCAGCCTGAGTCTCTAAAATAGACAAACAAGTCACATCATAGATACAAACACAACAACCACTCCTTTATCTGCGATATGGAACGAGAATAGCAAATATAGAATTTGATTTGTGTTTTTTAAATTGATTAAATACATGTATTCATGGCAAGGTAAATGCGTCGAAATTAAATAGTCTTCATATGAATCTTTTCCATGTCAATATGAGAACACTACAGTACTTGATAACAATACCGGGGTGTAGTATGCTACTGACAAATACACAGTTTGTCCTTTACTCTAGATAACTACATAGAGTGTGTCGTGTCTCCCTGACAACTGAACGGTGTGTCCTACATGTATACCCCGACAACTAAACAGTGTGTCGTACACACCTGACAACTAAACAGTGTGTCGTGTACGTCTGACAACTAAACAGTGTGTCGTGTACCCCTGACAATTATTAGTGTGCCTTGTACCCCTGACAACTAAACAGTGTGCCATACACACCTGACAACTAATCAGTGTGTCGTTAGTCCCTGCCAACTGTTGTGTACCAATGACGACCGTACACATGTCATATGCACTCCTTGTCAACTAAATACATGTGCCGTGTACCTCTGTACAACTATATACATGTGCCGTGTACATATGTACAACTATATACATGTGCCGTGTACCTCTGTACAACTATATACATGGGCCTGTATTCCTTTGGATTTTATGTAGGATGGGTTGTCAATAAATATACATGATTTATTTAATTGTTAATATCTAAAGCATAAACAGAAAATGATTAAACAAAAGTTGTAAAATGCTCATTTCACCAGCTAAACTGGAGTTATATATATCCCCTGTACTGTTTAATTGGCTTGTTATGAGAGACTATATGTATGTTTGTAAATAAGTTTAGATGGACTTAAGTAGGCCTTACCCGATGTCCAACTCAATTGACATATATAAAGTCAATAAAATCTGATAAAATGAAATGTGCCGTGTACCTCCGGACAACTATATACATGTGCCGTGTACCTCTGTACAACATGTGCCGTGTACCTCTGTACAACTGTTTACATGTGCCGTGTACATATGTACAACTATATACATGTGCTGTGTACCTCAGTACAACTGTTTACATGTGCCGTGTACCTCCCTACAACTATATACATGTGGTATGTACCTCCGTACAACTATATACATGTGCTGTGTACCTCAGTACAACTATATACATGTGCCGTGTACCTCAGTACAACTATATACATGTGCCGTGTACCTCTGTACAACATGTGCCGTGTACCTCTGTACAACATGTGCTGTGTACCTCAGTACAACTGTTTACATGTGCCGTGTACCTCTGTACAACATGTGGTATGTACCTCCGTACAACTATATACATAAGCCGTGTACCCCTGACAACTATATAAATATCTAGTGTACTCCCTGACAACTATATATATATATATATATATGTGTGTCGTGTTCCCCCTAACAACTACATGAATATATGCCGTGTATCTCCGTACAACTCTATACATGTACCGTGTACCCCTGACAACTATATACATTTCTAGTATACTCCCTGACAACTCTATATATATGTGTGTGTCGTGTTCCCTCTAACAACTATATGTATATGTGCCGTGTACCTCTGACAACTATATATTCGTGTCGTGTACCCCCTGACAACTATATCTTCGTGTCGTGTATCCCCTGACAACTATATATATGTGTGTCGTAAACCCCGTAACAACTATATATACGTGTCGTGTACACCCTGACAACTATATATACGTGTCGTGTTCCCCCTGACAACAATATATACGTGTCGTGTACCCCCTGACAACTATATACATGTCTAGTGTACCCCCTGGCAACTATATATATATATGTGTCGTAAACCCCGTAACAACTATATATATGTGTCGTATACCCCCTGACAACTATATATACGTGTCGTGTACCCCCTGACAACTATATACATGTCTAGTGTATTCCCTGACAACTATATATATATGTGTCGTAAACCCCGTAACAACTATATATACGTGTCGTGTACCTCCTGACAACTATATATACGTGTCGTAATACCCCGTAACAACTATATATACGTGTCGTGTACCCCCTGACAACTATATATACGTGTCGTATACCCCCTGACAACTATATATACGTGTCGTGTACCCCCTGACAACTATATATATACGTGTCGTATATCCCCTGACAACTATATATATGTCTAGTGTACCCCCTGACACCTATATACATGTCTAGTGTATATCCTCACAACTATATATATATATGTGTCGTAAACCCGGTAACAACTATATATACGTGTCGTTTACCCCCTCTCAACTATATACATGTCTAGTGTACCCCCTGACAACTATATATATACGTGTCGTATACCCCCTGACAACTATATATACCTGACATCCTCGCACGATTGAAATCAATATTCGTCGGACCTTCTGCCAATGTATGCGTTTCTTTATTGCACGAGCTGGCGATATTGGCTGACGTGCAGTTAAAGATGACAGATTAGCCAGATGCGGTAAATTTTTGGTGGGGGAGGGGGGACTATTGAAGCACCTTTTTTGTAAAAGATCCCTCTGTGTATTGTCGAAAGAGTAGGTGCGTTAACGCCGGCATAGCGGATAGGGATATGTTAGATATCTTTTTTTTAAGACGATTCGACGGACTTCCAAAATATAAAACTAAAACAGAATACAAAAAGAGTAAGATAGGGTCATAGGACAGACTGGATATGGTAGACACGCCCTCCTCCTACATCCACGCCATATAAGACAACCTGATACGATACGACCAGCGACCATCCCATCTTTTATTATAATAATATAATTTATAAGTATATATAGTTCTAGCTCAGTAACTTATACATCCCTCTCTTAAGGCTCTCTAGCTCAGTAACTTATACATCCGTCTCTTAAGGCTCTCTAGCTAAGTAACTTATGCATCCGTCTCTTAAGGCTCTCTAGCTCAGTAACTTATACATCCGTCTCTTAAGGCTCTCTAACTCAGTAGCCTATACATCCCTCTCTTAAGGCTCTCTAGCTCAGTAACCTATACATCCTTCTCTTAAGGCTCTCTAGCTCAGTAACCTATACATCCCTCTCTTAAGGCTATCTAGCTCAGTAACTTATACATCCCTCTCTTAAGGCTCTCTAGCTCAGTACCTTATACATCCCTCTCTTAAGGCTATCTAGCTCAGTAACTTATACATCCTTCTCTTAAGGCTCTCTAGCTCAGTAACTTATACATCCCTCTCTTAAGGCTATCTAACTCAGCAACTTATACATCCCTCTCTTAAGGCTATCTAACTCAGTAACTTAGTCATCCCTCTCTTAAGGCTCCCTAGCTCAGTAACTTAAACATCCGTCTCTTAAGGCTCTCTAGCTCAGTAACTTATACATCCGTCTCTTAAGGCTCCCTAGCTCAGTAACTTATACATCCCTCTCTTAAGGCTCTATAGCTCAGTAACTTATACATCCGTCTCTTAAGGCTCTCTAACCCAGTAGCCTATACATCCCTCTCTTAAGGCTCTCTAGCTCAGTAACTTATGCATCCGTCTCTTAAGGCTATTTAACTCAGTAACTTATACATCCCTCTCTTAAGGCTCTATAGCTCAGTAACTTATACATCCGTCTCTTAAGGCTCTCTAACTCATTAGCCTATACATCCCTCTCTTAAGGCTCTCTAGCTCAGTAGCTTATACATCCCTCTCTTAAGGCTCTCTAGCTCAGTAACCTATACATCCCTCTCTTAAGGCTATCTAGCTCGGTAACTTATACATCCCTCTCTTAAGGCTCTCTAGCTTAGTAACTTATACATCCCTCTCTTAAGGCTATCTAACTCAGTAACTTGTACATCCCTCTCTTAAGGCTATCTAACTCAGTAACTTATTCATCCCTCTCTTAAGGCTCCCTAGCTCAGTAACTTATACATCCCTCTCTTAAGGCTCCCTAGCTCAGTAACTTATACATCCGTCTCTTAAGGCTCTCTAACTCATTAGCCTATACATCCCTCTCTTAAGGCTCTCTAGCTCAGTAGCTTATACATCCCTCTCTTAAGGCTATCTTACTCAGTAACTTATACATCCCTCTCTTAAGGCTCTATAGCTCAGTAACTTATACATCCGTCTCTTAAGGCTCTCTAACTCATTAGCCTATACATCCCTCTCTTAAGGCTCTCTAGCTCAGTAACTTATACATCCGTCTCTTAAGGCTCCCTAGCTCAGTAACTTATACATCCGTCTCTTAAGGCTCTCTAACTCATTAGCCTATACATCCCTCTCTTAAGGCTCTCTAGCTCAGTAGCTTATACATCCCTCTCTTAAGGCTCTCTAGCTCAGTAACCTATACATCCTTCTCTTAAGGCTCTCTAGCTCAGTAACCTATACATCCCTCTCTTAAGGCTATCTAGCTCGGTAACTTATACATCCCTCTCTTAAGGCTCTCTAGCTTAGTAACTTATACATCCCTCTCTTAAGGCTATCTAACTCAGTAACTTAGTCATCCCTCTCTTAAGGCTCCCTAGCTCAGTAACTTATACATCCCTCTCTTAAGGCTATCTAACTCAGCAACTTATACATCCCTCTCTTAAGGCTATCTAACTCAGTAACTTATACATCCCTCTCTTAAGGCTATCTAACTCAGTAACTTATACACCCCTCTCTTAAGGCTATCTAACTCAGTAACTTATACATCCCTATATTAAGGCTATCTAGCTCAGTAACTTATACATCCGTCTCTTAAGGCTCTCTAGCTCAGTAACTTATACATCCGTCTCTTAAGGCTATCTAACTCAGTAACTTATACATCCCTCTCTTAAGGCTATCTAACTCAGTAACTTATGCATCCCTCTCTTAAGGCCATCTAATTCAGTAACTTATACATCCCTCTCTTAAGGCTCTCTAGCTCAGTAACCTATACATCCCTCTCTTAAGGCTCTCTAGCTCAGTAACTTATACATCCCTCTCTTAAGGCTCTCTTGTTACTGCTTCCTTTCTGCCAATTTTTACTTTTTTTGATTACTCACATATTTATCTAGCAGTAATATGCATTTTTGTTTTCAATAGAAAAACACACCCGCTAGATTAAAAGTAAAAAGCCGCATACACCATAGGGACCCCCGGATAATCTCAGCCTCCGGCCAAACAAAGTACTGTACCTAATGGAAGCATGCAGGGACGTTTCTCAACTGTCGGGTATATACATTATTATTATTATAAGCCTTCTTGGCCAGTCTTGGCCCGTTTTATCACCCTCCCACGATACAAAAACAACCAACCATATGTGCAAATTTATGTAGTATCACTAATTGTAGAAGTCTGTCTTAGTTTAGAGGCCGTAACGTAGGTATCAGTCTGATCTCTCCACAATCACCTCAGTGTTATACGGGTTACTTCCCTTTATACGGTTAGCACGATCCAGTCAGTACGGGTTGATTTCCTGTATGTGGTTTCGAAAGACACAAAAAGCCAACACAAAAGACAAAATGTGACACAGTGTCAGCTCTTAAAAGTGCCTTCACAAAAGAAGTAGAAAAAAATGCACAACGTCGTTTACGGGAAAATGCAAAGGAACAAAAAGTTCCAAAATGTCCAAACAGAGGTATAAAATCGAAATCAATGTGATACGAAAAATGTGTAAGAACAAATTCGTCCATTATAGTATAGTTTGTTATTGCTATTAGTGTCGGTACGCCGTTACATGCGTGGTTAGTTCGGAAAGGATAATCTTTATTAAGTACACGCACCGTAGTGTACATATACGATTTATTTTTCAATCACGAAGTCACATGCCCGTATATCCCCAGACAATCCACACACATACTAGCAATCTGTTCTATTTTCATACGATAAAAGAAGACGTCACAAGCTTATCTATATATCTGGTAGTAACAACAACACAATTTTTTAAACATGACGATATCTACCCCCTGCCAAAAAAGCATGAGTAATTTTGTTGTACACGAAGGAGTTCTAGCCGGTACTATAGTCTATAGGGTGGGTAATGAAATCGACCCCGAGTAGACTACATGGAAAGTCTATACAATTTTCTATATAATACAATTTATTTATTTTTGGAACATCAAACAGTGGGTGTACGGTCCTGTGCCGACCTGAGTATGTGTACAGTACTCACACGCGTGACACAGCCATGCCGGGATTAACACGATAGCAGATTTAGACATTTACTTAGATAGAATGTATAATAAGCTGTCCAGATCATCACCCGCTACGCTGATAATGCTATAACCATGTAGAGATCGGGAGTAACTCGTGTTTGGGTGGTTTATGAATAAGTTTTAATAATGTTTAAAATTGTTAAAATATATTAAATACGTTCCAGCATTTCCTCGCACGAGGTCTAAATAATGAACGTGTCCGGCTTAGCCGTGTAGTACATTTTATTGATTTTTCGTCTTATGAAATACATATTTATATTATCAGCAATCGCTGTACAAACCATAACACATGAAAGCCGTGGACAAGTGCAAATATATAATTAAAAGTGTATTCTATAAAAAAATATTAGTATATTATACATCCATACAAACAATAACACACATGAAAGCCGTTGTGTTCTTCAAATATACAATTTCGAAAACGTATTGTATAGAAAAATATCAGCATATTATACTGTTTCGTTAATAAAATGTAACAGAGTGTACGTATATATATAATAATTTCAGGCATATGTATCTATTACCAAGCTGTTACCGACTCGTGTGTAAAAATGTAGAATAGTCATCAAACAACCTGCTTCTGTTCCATGTATAATTAATGTAGGTCGTTCTACAACATACCCTGCACCACGCAATCAATGTTACACTTACCTGAAATATCAGACGTCGGTCCACCAACCCCCACAGAGCCCCCCTCCGTACAACGGCCTGGCCCGGGGGAGAGGGCGGTTGTATCGGGGGTGGACGATGTATCCGTCAGGGGAGGGGCTTCGCGCTCCGTTATATCCGCCATGTTTAATTACAATAATTTCGTCGGTAACTTTAGTAATCGTTTACACGACATAGAGCGGAAGTTATTTTTACTTTGGCTTGACCGGGCGAGGACACGCTGTTTTATCCACGTCTATTATTGACAGTCCAACTGATAACAATATACCTAGAATTGTATGTCATAGAGCGAGTAATCCATGTCCATGTGTATAGAGGCGGTTATATAGGAGATTGCACATCGGAAATTCCCAACATATGACAAAGAGACGATCTGGAAATCCACCAGATCCACGCTTCCTATTGATTTTGGAAGATTCCTATTTAGACCGGTGTGCGATGACCGTAACAGCTCAATTAAACTACTAAGTAGCGTACCTGTATTGTATGTAATACATGAGGTCATGTGTTCCTTCCTTTGTGTAGTCCGAACTGTTTGAACGGTACACTTTGACAAGCGTATATACATTTTATCACACGCATGTCGCTAACAATACAAAATTTATATTCGAGATAAGATAATGTTATTTGTGTTCAAAAAAGTTCCCATAATGATAAGAAGAGGTTATCGTATGACAACCTCTGTATCAAACGCAATTTCAACCCAAAAGCCCCAAGCATCAGCCCGAGCGGCAAGCCCGAGGGCCGATATCGAACGAAGGTTGATATGGGGGGAAATTTGGTGATGAACATTATATATCATGTTTATCATATACTGCACTTCGCGTGTTTAACTACTGATTGAGTATTTATATACATTATGTTCAAAGTAGATAACTATTTTGGTGAACAAATATTTTACTCTTGCATAAAGAATCCAGATTATGAAACATAAGACTACCGTACCAACAGCGAAAATGATAGCAATCTTTGAGAACATAATATATTCCTCTTGAGATGTTGTTACATTGTACAACTGAGAATAAATACGCCATCCCCGGTACCTGGCTAGGGAGAGGGGGCCTGACTTCCGTTTAAGTTGCTTTACTGATCTAAATCCAAACTTATCATCCTATTTATGGTGTATGTGTTGTTATTTACCTCCGAGTTACGGTGTAACTAAAGAACAACAATAAATATCGAAATAGTAACTGAATCGTATTTCAATGTTCTGGTCAGTTCTCGTGTGTATATTAACGTGAAGGATTGATCATTATTTGTGTTATGTTTAAAGTAGAAGGAGTAGTTAAGGTCATAGCTGGTGTCACGTGATGTATATGTAGACACAGGTGTTGTACTACCTATGGTAATCTGGTGTCTATCAGTAGGGTGCTCAGTCACTATGATTAGCAGAGGGGGGATCCAAGTGCTTTCCTTCTATGATGCTAGCAATCCGAGTTATCTCTATGATAAACAATGGTTCTGGCTTAAGTCGTGATAATGGGTGTTAGAAAGGTGATGATATAAGATCCTTTATAATGAAAAGACCTAATGTCTACGTAAATGCTGGCATCTAATATTGAACTTCGGGAAAATACTGGCACCTGATATCAGCTCTCGGGTTAACACTGACACCTGGTATCAACAATCGGGTTAACACTGACAAATGATATCAGCTCTCGGGTTAACACTGATATCTGATATCAGCTCTCGGGTTAACACTGACATCTGATATCAACCCTCGGGTAAACACTGGCACCTATTTCCCGAGGCGAAGCCGAGGGAAATAGGCATGGTCAAGGGACACCAGAAACTTGCTATATATGCCTCAACCCCATACTTTAACCGTTTTATTATACCGATACACACTGGAGAGATAGTTTTAACTAGAAAATATTTGTAAACCATAAGCTGTATAGCTTCACGTCCCAAATACCCTTTTGATGGCAATGGAGCCAAATGCTTACGAGTTCGGCAGCAAGCTCCGCCCACCTCGCGCGTCACTGCCGAGTTCGGTAACAAGCTCCGCCCACCTCTCGCCTGATTGGCTCGGCGGAAACACCCGAGTGTAGGTGTGTTTTAGTTCACAGACTAACACACAGGACTAAAACACACTCAGGCAAAAGTGGGGATATATTCGATTTAACCAATTACTTTTATATAGAGTAAATAAAGTAGAGGTGTAATAA